AAGTCCCTCGGCCCTTAAAGAGGAAAGGTTGCCTACCCCTGTATTAAACCATATTTGGGCTGATGCAGACCGGCATTTTAGGCTGGCCTGGGGGTGGAGTTGGGGTGGGGTGACTGCATTCTGGCCGCCCCAACTCTGTCTGCACGGCGCACAGCATCAGGGTGCCCTCTTGGTGCAGTGTGTGCACACGGTGTGCCAAAAGGGTGCAAAAGAGCAGTGGTGGCAGCTCTAAGGGCATTTTTTTTGCCACCCCCAAAAGGAGTGGCATTTTGCCTCTCTTTTGAGGATGACAAAAAGGAGGATCGGAGCCACAGCATGTGGTTGCTGTGGCCCCAATCCGCTGCTCCCAGGGGTGGCCCAGAGCCACCCCAAACGGGCCGTCTGCATCAGCCCTTTATTTTCAAATTCCACCTTGGCTACAGCATTAACTGACTGATAGCACTGTAGCTAAAGAAAGCAGAAGCTCAAATGTTTTAGTTTACAACTTTAACATTTAATTATGTTAATAATGCCACTACAAAAACAGTCTTATTCAATTAACTTATGCAAACAGATTATTCTACGGTAACAACTGTCATACAGAGAACAATCCATGCCTGCCATGTATAGTCCTTTTAAACTATAACCTGTCCTCCTCATAATTTTCACCATTTCCGTCCAAGATTAGGATTTGTTTCAATTTCAGGGTCCAGTACCAATCCAAACAATACCAGTGATTACTGACTCTTCCCCGATTCATTCAAGACGTAATAAATGTTTTTATCTCAGCAAGGCTATGAATCCAATCCATGCTGTCTATGAACAACTGTTTTATATGTAGGACATGATATATTTCCTGTCCCTCCCAGGCAGAATACTTAGAAGTGACATCAAAGAAATGGGTCAAGTACAAGATGTTCTATAGTTGCAATCCAAATGTAGTTGCCAAAGGGAAATTCTAACCTCTGTCCAGCATAAGACAATCCCCTAAGAGAAAATATATAAACAAACTTACTTTTATTCAGGGAAACAGGAACTTTTATTTAAGGAAGAGAGAGGAAGGATACATCTGTGGCCAGTTTGCACCAAGGAGTGAAAAATCACTTAGAAGTCCATACCTTGGAAAAGAAAGTCCTTGTGTCTTGTTTGTTTGATTGCAAACTGTTGTCAAAGGAGCTCTTTTAACTAACACACACACACACACACACACACACACACACACACACACACACAAGCACACTTTATAATGACCATTCTTTTAAAAGGTTCTTGATATTCCATGACGTTGTGGGGTGACCAACAGAATTATGGTCTGAGTTATGAAGCAATGGCAGGCTTGGGTCTCTATACCCCTTACTGAGTTCTACGAAAGCACAAAGTAAAATTGCGGCAATTTGGAACACTCCCAAATAAACTGGGATCATAAATAAAGTTCACCCAATGGCCACAAATTCCTACCTATTGGGAAAATATAATTGATGGTATAAAAATGGGAACTTGAGTCAACATTTATGTAAGTTTCATTGATTCAACTGGTCTTTTCTAGTTAGAATTAGGATTGGAGTTCAGTCTCTCAATCCATTTTCTATTAGTAAGGGACTTCTATTCATCCCTATAGGGAAAAATACAAAATTCAAGGCTGCATCGTGGTGGGGCAAAATCTGCTCACAATTAACACTGGAGGCATAGCCATCACCATTATGGTATTAGTAGTAGTAGTAGTAGTAGTAGTAGTAGTAGTAATAATAATAATAATAATAATAATTTTTATTTATATCCCGCCCCTCTGCAGAGCAATCGTTATGGTAGTGGTGGATGGGATGGTTTGGCAAAGTAATATTATCTAGATGTGAATATTAAAACTTTTAGAACTGTACATTTAGTATATCCTGCAGCCCCCCACCCAAAAAAAAAAACAAAACACACCAGATTTTTTGTAGCAAAGAATTAATTTATACTTAAGGGATCTGTATTGTCAGGCACAGATTTATACATAATATTTAAAAAGTGGTCGGTGTGGCTGTGAATCACTTTTAAACTTAATTGAAATGAGGTCTATTCTTAGACTGATTAAACATTTCCTCTATTTTACTGTCTTAAGAGCTATGAAATTTGATGGTCTGCAATAGTTTCACATTTATATATTTGAAGGTGCTATTAATTGATAGGTTAAAACAGTTAATATTTCCTATCTTTGATCTCTTATAATGTCATGCCTAATCACAAAGATGGCTGGAAGATTTTAAAAATCCTCTACTGTACAACTAATGTAGGGCTCTGATTCTATGCGGTTACCAAGATGGAAGACTTCTACATATATAAACTTCAGACCAAGAGTGTGACATAAAAATAATAAATAGATTGATCAATCAAAACTGCTTCTAAGCAGTAGTATTGGCGGTTTAGTATCCTTTCATATCTGAAAGGCCATTTGAATATTTCCTTTCCAATATGATGGTGATGTTTAAATAAATATGGGAGTAGTGATGATGATGAGATTGAGGATATTCTTTTAGGCCATCTTAAAGGCTAGAATCTTTTAAAGGCAGCCACCACTGGTAATACTAGTGGCATGATAAACCAAGTAGAGTATTGCATGTTAGAATACATAACCCATGAAAGGTCAGTTACACCTTTTCTGTTACTTAGTTTAAGTGTTAATACCCAAGTCTAAAGTTAAACAGAGGGAAATATAATTGAATTTGGTTTGTGTCTTTAATTAGATGGCTATGATTTTATTTTCACCATCTCCATGTCTCATCTCATCCAGATAACGCTCACTGAACATGTGCTGAACACTGAATATATCACTGAAGTGCCTAGAACCAGGTGGTATCATAACAGGACAAACACAATGAATGAAAACTCCTTCATTCACAATACATAAAATAGCACAGGATGCTTTTTGTTTTTTTTTAAATTCCAAGTCAGCAAAATCTTCATACTCTGAAGAACTGCAAGATAGGCATACTTGACTGAAAGAAAACTGCCCCCTTCCCCATACATTCAAACTATATCCCAGCTTGGAAGAAAACACACATTTTCTAAAAATAAAAATTAATGCTATTATTTCTATTGAGTTTCTGTTCCCTTCAAAACAGGTCTCACGTTGACTTAAAGAATGCTGGCTTACCAGAAAGTATGTTTCAATTAGCATTCATGTAGAAAAGGCAAGTTTTGCTCATTCAAATTAATTTATCCTCTCAGTACCAAATTTTGCATGGCAGAGACTGAAAAGGCTTTCTTCTGATTAAGCCAACTCTTCCCTGATGAGAGAGTGTAAAGAGCTTTACACAGGCAATGAAAATTATTAGTCTACAAATACAAAGCATTTTAAAAATCTAAAATTCAC